GGGAGAGGCTGCTGCACTGTCCCAGCTAGCCTCCCTTGCCCCTTGTGCGTTACACACAATTAAGCCAACCCCGCTCCTCTGAAGAAGGGGGCTGTGCCCACAAGAGCTCCTGCTACCAGCTACATGTTTTGTTAGACTGTCCAGTGCTACCAGACCATTTGTTGTTTTTTAAGTTTATCCTCTACGGACTAACTCAGCTACCCCCTGAAGCTTACAACTCCTAAGGCAGCCCAGGAGTTGGGTTCTGAAACCACAAGGCAGCCAGCAATGAGCCCAGACGAGCCAGGCTTGGCCAGACACTACTACAGAGCCAACTGACCCAAAAGCTGAGCAGGTCCCCGGACAGACCATGGATTTGAGAAGACACTCATTATCTGCTGATGAAGCTCTGAGCCCCAAAGGAGAGGAATCCTTTAGCAACCCAGTGTTTGTCAACTTTTTTTTTTTTTGTAACATCACTTTAAGAAAAAGTGTAAGTACCCCCACTACCTACAGTTTTCAGACATTTTTTTCTTCCGTAGCAACACTTTTGTTTAAACAATTTAATCATAGCCAAGCAATGAAATTTTTGGGTGTGAAGAGTACAAAAATAAAGCACTGTAAACTTAAAACAAAAATTGTTTTTTCCAGCTTTCAGTTTTGTTGACACACACCCCAGACTTCTCTCAAGAGTATCCCTAAGGGTACTCCTACCACTGGTTAAGAAACACTGAGCTAGACAGTCAGAAATGGCTCACAGCTTTAAAATGAAAGTGTCCAAATTGAATTCCTCCTTATTAATGACGAGGGTTACCAGATACCTTCACAAAAAATGCCAGACAGGAAAAAATTGGTTGAAAAAAAAATTGGCCATTCATCCAAGGAAAACAGAAAATAACATACATTGTACATGTCCTGTGTTCTGGTTTTTTTTTTTAAACCAGACAGAAGGCCAAAATACTGAACTGTCCAAGCGAAAACCAGACAGCTGGCAACCCTATTTGTACACTGTAAAATATAGTTATAACAGTTGTTGTTGGATTAATATTGATCATTATTTTTCCTTCTATAGCTGGGTCAACATTAAAACTCTCCCTCATGTTCATAAGCTAAAACCTTATCACCTTTCTTTTTATGCATAATTATACTTTGAGCTGGTGTTTCTTTAGGGAATACTCTACCATTTTAAGTGCTTTTAAAATGCTCTCAGGTTTGCTGAAAAATAAGTGCTGCAGTTGTCTTGAAACTTCCAAACCAAATGTTAAAGGCCATGAAATTGTTTAATTTGATGTAGATTATATCTACTCTCAAATCTAGTAATTAAATTTGTCCAAAGAGCTATTTGGGTTTATTCTTTTCATCAGAATAAAATAAATAATTTCCCTACTGAATGCCACAGAGCAGAAGGTGAATACAATAATGGGCAGGAGAGCTAGGCTTAAGTTGTGTTAAAGAATAGGAGCACTGCCCCCACCCCCACCAGGCTTCCTCACACAACTAGATGAGCTGAGGGCTCCCAGCACCGCTCATGGCCCCGCCTCCCCAGCCACTCCCTCCACCGCTGTTGCCAGGCTTCCATCAGGCACCCAGCCAGAAAAGCAGAAAATACCAGACATTGCACATTTCCAATATTTTCTGATTTATTTATTTTTTACTGGACAGGGGGCACGAAAAACAGACTGTCCAGTTGAATACCGGATACCGGGCAACCCTATTAACAACAGAGCCAGAAGCATGCTGTTACAAGGGATGGCACACAGGTCCTGAACTATCATTGAATGTTGTAGCTACAATGGTATCAGGATATTACAGAGACAGTCTTCATATTACCTGCTACCTGACTCACTACCTAAAAATTTGGTGGCATAGGCAGCAGGACAAATAGAAAATGGCCAGATGCAGTCCATGCAATGGATGGAAGTGTTAGGCAGGCCAGATCTGATGTAAAAGGCCTCAGTTTGATCCCTGCTCCTGTTCTTTTACCAGGTGAAGCATTTCTGCTTGCATATACAGGCAGTCCCCGGATTACATACAAGATAGGGACTGTAGGTTTGTTCTTAAGTTGAATCTGTATGTAAGTCGGAACTGGCGTCCAGATTCAGCCGCTGCTGAAACTGATCAGTTTAGGCAGGCCAGATCTGATGTAAAAGGCCTCAGTTTGATCCCTGCTCCTGTTCTTTTACCAGGTGAAGCATTTCTGCTTGCATATACAGGCAGTCCCCGGATTACATACAAGATAGGGACTGTAGGTTTGTTCTTAAGTTGAATCTGTATGTAAGTCGGAACTGGCGTCCAGATTCAGCCGCTGCTGAAACTGATCAGTTTCAACAGCG